TAAAAACCAAGACAATAAAAGCAATAAAAATATAAACACCCCCCGATTAAAACCCAAATAACAAATCTATAAAAGCAAAGATGGTCAACAGAGAAGGATCCTCAGGATCTTGAATGCCAGAACAACTGACGGGGCTAAGTGCAGGTTAACGGGAAGAGCGCTGCAGGATTCGAGAGCTGCTGCACGAGAGCTCGTGTCATCCTGAACCTGCCAGGGTGTGAGGCTGGGAGCCGGACTGATGCTAGGAGCATATGCCTTCCACAACTGCGATATTCCCTCTTCCTGTCACTAGAAAATCTGGGTTGGGGATTGGGATTCAGTTCTTCCCCCAGCCCTCCGCGCCCTTGGGTGTTTTGCAATATTTTAGATGCTTTTGATTCTGACATCCCTATTAAATATTTCGTGGTCCCCAATTGCGCTCCTTGATTAATTGAGAAGACTGACGGATCAACACAAAGCAGTTAATTAAGTTTTACAGTTCTTCTGACTTTCCCCCGCCTCTTTATGACAGGCTGTTCTTCTGGACGCCGCAGCAAAGGGCAGGTTTTATGCAACCGTGAGCCCTTCCTGCTCTTTTTCATCATGCTTGCCACGGTTCACGAGACGAGACATTTGCAGCCTTAAGACTTCCTGCCGAGTTTTAGACCTTGTATTCTTGACACCGAAGCTGTCGTTTTGCCGAATCTACTTAATTAGGAACACGTCCACAGTGGCTCCTGGAGGAAGGCCGATGTCCTAGTCAGCGGCTTGCTCCAAGGAGCCTGAAGTTTTGTGCAGCTAAACAAATGGCTTACAGCTCTCAGTCCCCATTGATCTGGCGTGGCTTTATACCTGAGACGCAGTGCACTTAAAGGTGCCGTCTAGTTCTGATCATTAAAATGTTGGGGAGAGGGTGCGGGCAGATGCAACCCAACAGAAAGAAAGAGATTCTGCCTCGCTCTTTGCAAAGGGGAGCTTGGGCTTCCTTTCCTCAAAGCACTTCTCCAGCCTTAGTTAGCGGTTCTCCTCCTCGCCGAATTCCTCTGATAATGGGTGAAATTTCCTGGTGCAAAGTATTTTACCAGGCTGAGATCTTATCTGCAGGTCCTGAAGAAGCTAACCTCAAAGGGAGCAACCGCTCCAAACATTTGCAGAGCCAACCCAAGTCTGTCTTTCTTGCATGTGTTCGCTATTTGGTTAGATGAACTCTCATGGTTGGGGTAGGAAGAGACATGGGGCAAGGCCTAGGGGGAAGATGGGGCAGGCGACGTGCTTTGCTTGCACGAGATTTGCACTATGGACCCTCCTGCTGGATCCTGCTCCCCAGTTTTTTTTTATTGCTGGTTGCACAAAAAGTTTGGAGTGGAGGAAGAGATGGGATTTTAACATGGTTTCCGTCTATATCTTTCACCTTCCAGGCAATATATGTGAAACCCTGAATCTGGATTTTATCTGCTATGCGCCATTGATGTCTAGAATTGAGTTTTACTTTATTGATTTGGGGGACATCGTCAGACTGGTTTCTGGGTTGGGGGACAGTTTGATTTGGCATTAACATGGTTTTATAAGTCCATATGCTACCAAACACGAAGCAGTTGCTTTCCAAGAGCTTAAGCCCCCGAGAACCTGTTTCTGCAGCACCTTTTGTCTGCTCTTGATTCCCAACTCATAATTTAAGAGAAAACTGGTATAGCTGGCATACAGCTCCACCAGTAATTGCCAAAATAGACAAATCATGCAGCCATAAATGCTGGAAATGCCACGAGACAGAAGGAACCGATGTGGTGGACATGCAAAAAACCCCTAAAGACATACATAACACCCTTCAAAGAATGCTAAAAATCAAATTTGATATAGAACCACAGCTCTTCTTCAACTCTTAAAAACCTTCAGGGACCTGGCTCCATTGGTTTATCCATATTTAACTGCAGGCTCTGGGAAACAAGGGGCTTCTGCCGCGCCTGCTTCTAGATCAGTCCTCTTGGTCAACCTGACTTCCAGCTTCTAATACTCTCATTTCTGTCTTCACCAAATTCAACCACCTTTTTTCTTATTTCCTCCCAGCGCTCCGATGCCCTACCTCATAGGAGTTCATTTAAGCCTGATAGAGGTAAGTCCCTTTGGCAGGTCCAGCCTGGAAACGGGGTTGCATTAGCCATCAACTTTCCCTCTCAAACAAGCCATTTGGTTCAAAGATCCCTGGCAGAAACTCCTTCAGTAACTCTCCCGCACCCCTAAGCTGTGTGCAAAGTTCCTTTTCCCTTTTAAGCTGTAAACAATTTCAGCTATTTGGGGAGGGAAAAAAGACACCAGAAATTGTACGAGGCTGCAGCAAAATGTAGTGGTTTGCCTGTGATAGACCGAGGGCTCCTTGAGAGTTAAAACATCAAACATAGCTTGTTTGGTCTAATTTGCTATGACTGGAAAGCTCTTCTCTGAGATCAAGTGATCTCTTTTTTGGGGGGGGGATCCAAAAGCCTGTTTCTGATTTAGAAACCCACCTCTGTTTCCCCAAAGCGGAATCCGCAGAACTTTTGGCGATTCCCTTCTTCCCAAGTTTTCTATCATCACTTCATCACTCATTCAGTGTAAGATTTCTATTTAGCCATCCTTAAAGCAACTTCAAAGGAGCGAGAAAGTTTATAAGCCGCTGTACAAGCCAGACTGGGTTCTGTCGCATGAATAATGGAAGACTTTTTACAGCACTAGCCATTCATATTCAGGAAGGAGAGGGATAAGCTCTGATAAATTGCCAGCAGATAAGATAATCAGACCATGTCCCCCTGATCCTCCCGCTTCGCAGTTTTCATGGCCAAAACCAAAATCTGTCTTACGTTCAGACCGGTCGCATTTGGAACCGTTCAGCGTTGTTCTTTGTTGGCCTCAAGAAATAAAGATTTTGCTTGGCATCCTTATTGATGGAAATCTTATCGTTATCTTGACCTTGGACCTCAGAAGACCTTTCAGTAGATTCCCACTTGGCTTCCCATAACTGAGGACCTGTTGAACTTCTGATGGAGGATTCAGACCTAAGTGAGAGACCAACTAACAGCCGGTTGTGGTATGAATCTCCAGGGCTGAGCAACAAACATTCTTTTAGAGCATTTGTGGCACTGTGATGTTTTTGACTGTCACTGCTTTAGAAGATATTCAGGTTGAGAACATCTAGAAAGGATGTTCTTGTCCTTGTGGACAAGCACGGGCTCACATAGATCAGCAGTGCACATCCTCCAGATGTGTTGAGAATACGGCCTCCAGAATTAGCAGGAGATGCCGTTCCTACACATCTGGGTTACCATTTTGGAGAAGGCCGATATGTACGGCCTAAGTTCTTTGGGGTTATCAACCAACACCTTCAGAATCAGAGACATTTTTCATGGATCAGAACTGAACTCTAGAAGGTTGCAACAGCAGTGCCCCCAATTTTCAAACATTTTTCAATTGTCCACACCTGATACGTTGTGTGAAAAAATGGCTAAGATTTCATCTTCAGTGCTTCAGCTGAAAACACTTCTCCTTGGAGTTTGCTGACAGCTTATAGAGTCTATAGACCAAGGCTGTAATCTTGGAGGAGGCAGTTTCTAAGATGTCCTTCAGTGCCATTCATGACTTTAGATCAACTTAAAGGAAGTGTGTCTCTTTGTTAGCCACCAATAAGGATTTGGGGGATCATCTGCAAATAATGGTACCTTCTACATATTAAAATTGGTTGGCTGGTGGAAGACGCATGAGAGGAGTGGGGGTGGGCGGGCGGAAGACAGAGGCCACTTGCGCATGGATCAAAGGGTTCAGAGTCAAAGGACATGTGGAGCTTAACCATACTGGTCTGCGGAGTAGCTATTTCAGATTGTAAATCAGAGGGTGATTTTAATTAAAGCTTTCCTCCTGCACTGGGCTACGGAATCGTAAAAGGAGATATCCGGTCTGCATCCCCTCCTGAACTACCAAATTAATATGCTGCTGTTTGCAACTTTCCGGTGGCCTGCAGGTTTCCATAACCTGCTTGGAACATTTTCCAGATCGTGCAGCTTCATATGGAGACTGATACACTCATCAAAGGAGTTTTGCAGAAACGCTTAATTGTCAAGATGTTTGGCATAACTGCTCAAGATGGAAACTGTCCCTCTGTGGGATAAAAAGGATCACAGACTCGGGACAATCGATGAACTCAGGTTGGGTTGATTAATTGAAGGTGCCACTTTTTAGACAAAGAGGTCACGTTCCCACTGAGGCCCCTGAGGGCCAACGACATGTTTTATCACTTTGTCAGAGAAAGCTATATTACTGGTGTCAATTTAAGTACCATTACCTACTTTGAGAGAGACTCAGTGAACATTTATTTAAATCTAGTCATGAATAAAGTAAGTCTGGAGTCCTGCTCTCTGGAAGAAATTCTTGAGCGAAGAGCAATCGGTTTATTTCAGATCTGCTATTACCCTCCAAATGGCATAGAATTTGACAACTCAGATTACATGCTGGGTCTTCTCTGCTGGGAACACTTCTCTGAACTTTTTGATAACAATTTAAGAGCCAAGATTATTATTTTAGTCTGTTAAATTTAACCTGTTGATTATTCACAAGTAAGGACCCATTTTAAGCCTACCCTAATAGCACTTGAGGTCCTAATTCTAGGTGCAACATTGAGTGTTAAACTTCTGTGGCAGATTGAGAAGTCGTCATGAATTTGCCATCCAGCAAGGAGAGAGAACAAAGCCCTTTTGGGGACATATCTAGCCTAACATGACTAGAAGAAAGGGAAACCACTTGGTTGCTTGTTCAGAATCTTAAAAAATGTATCTAACTGAACATTAAGCTGATAATCCCC